TGGTCTCTCTCTCTCTGGTCTCTCTCTCTCTGGTCTCTCTCTCTCTGGTCTCTCTCTCTCTGGTCTCTCTCTCTCTGGTCTCTCTCTCTCTGGTCTCTCTCTCTCTCTGGTCTCTCTCTCTTTCTGGTCTCTCTCTCTCTGGTCTCTCTCTCTCTCTGGTCTCTCTCTCTTTCTGGTCTCTCTCTCTCTGGTCTCTCTCTCTCTTTGGTCTCTCTCTCTCTTTGGTCTCTCTCTCTCTCTGGTCCTGATGACCTCATCCTTCCGTCGGAGTCATGTGTCCTGAATGTAGGACAGTCCCTCATGGATCACAACAGGATAATAACATTTGAAACTGGATTCCCTTCGCTCACACATGGTCCCTCCCTGGTGCTTACACATGGTCCCTGCCTGGTCTTTCACAGTGTTAGCTTTCATGTAAGCTGGACCCACTTTCTTTATTTAGGCATTTGTTCCAATGAACACCAGGATCTGTGGTCTCTCTCCCTCTCTGGTCTATCCCCCTCTCTGGTCTATCCCCCTCTCTGGTCTATCCCCCTCTCTGGTCTATCCCCCTCTCTGGTCTATCCCCCTCTCTGGTCTCTCCCCCTCTCTGGTCTCTCTCCCTCTCTGGTCTCTCTCCCTCTCTGGTCTCTCTCCCTCTCTGGTCTCTCTCCCTCTCTGGTCTCTCTCCCTCTCTGGTCTCTCTCCCTCTCTGGTCTCTCTCCCTCTCTGGTCTCTCTCCCTCTCTGGTCTCTCTCCCTCTCTGGTCTCTCTCCCTCTCTGGTCTCTCCCCCTCTCTGGTCTCTCCCCCTCTCTGGTCTCTCCCCCTCTCTGGTCCCTCTCTGGTCTCTCTCCCTCTCTGGTCTCTCTCCCTCTCTGGTCTCTCTCCCTCTCTGGTCTCTCTCCCTCTCTGGTCTCTCTCCCTCTCTGGTCTCTCTCCCTCTCTGGTCTCTCTCCCTCTCGTTAGGAGGAGTTAACTTTTACATGGAAGTCAATAGGAGCCAGAGCAAGACGGAGCCAAACTTTGCCCATGAACACTTCCCTATTGGGCTTCACTGACATTGGGTTTCCTCCTCATTAAGGCTATGGTAACATGGTCCTCACCTGCACCCACAGATGGTCCCCCAGGCTCGGGCCCCCGTCCTGCTCCAGACACAGGGATCCTTTGCGCAGCCACAGCGAGCGCTCTGATTGGTCGCGCTGCTTCATGTCAATGGTCAACAGGAAGTACTTGAGCGGCCGGCGTTTCCTCACCTCCGCAGACATGGCTCAGAGCGAGTCAGCAGAGGGACATGTCACTGCAGCGTCACACACTGCAAAACATTATCAAACAGAGGTGTTAAACGCTTGGATCTAGACGTTTTTTTTCTTAATCTGACACATTCTGACTCTCCAATGGGTCTTCAGTCTTATTTCAAAAACTTGCTTTATTTTCTCACTCCAAGAGAGACATTTCTGTATATTTTTAAAACAAGATAATTTTTGTGCTCAATTTGAGATATATTTAGTCAAATTTGAGCATTTTTTGACTTTCAACTTTTGTGCATAACTTTCAAAAACACACTCTGGGAACACCTTAGATAAGCCCTCATTAGTTAACAGATAATTAACAGATAATTAAGTGCTAACTAGTGTACCCTAGTCCTGACCCACATGGGAAAGTGTCAGTTAGTAATGACAAGCGAGGCAACCAGTATGTGGCATGGGCCCCTCACTCTGGTCCCTCAGCCCTCTCTGGTCCCTCAGCCCTCTCTGGTCCCTCAGCCCTCTCTGGTCCCTCAGCCCTCTCTGGTCCCTCAGCCCTCTCTGGTCCCTCACCTCTCTCTGGTCAGAGACCTGAGAGGTCTCTCTCTCAGGTCTCTCTCTCAGGTCTCTCTCTCAGGTCTCTCTCTCAGGTCTCCCTCTCAGGTCTCTCTCTCTCTGGTCTCTCTCTCAGGTCTCTCCCTCTCAGGTCTCTCCCTCTCAGGTCTCTCCCTCTCAGGTCTCTCCCTCTCAGGTCTCTCCCTCTCAGGTCTCTCCCTCTCAGGTCTCTCCCTCTCAGGTCTCTCCCTCTCAGGTCTCTCTCTCAGGTCTCTCTCTCAGGTCTCTCTCTCAGGTCTCTCTCTCAGGTCTCTCTCTCAGGTCTCTCTCTCAGGTCTCTCTCTCAGGTCTCTCTCTCAGGTCTCTCTCTCTGCTCTCTCTCTCTGCTCTCTCTCTCTGCAAGACCAAAGAAATACTGACATGGTTCTTAATACATACTAACATTGTTGTGGTTTAAAAGTTACGTAGCCCAGCTTTAATTCAACCTAAAAGGTGATGTAACTAACATACAAATCAGTTCTAGGTCTAAGCTCTAAATGACAGGGTTTGGATGTAGATAAGAGAGGGTAGTTATGTGTTATTTCTGTGTTAGCTTAGCAGCAGCAGTAGCAGCAGCAGTAGTAGTAGCAGCAGTAGCAGTAGCAGCAGTAGTAGCAGCAGTAGCAGCAGTAGCAGTAGCAGCAGTAGCAGCAGTAGTAGTAGCAGCAGTAGCAGTAGCAGCAGTAGCAGTAGTAGCAGCAGTAGCAGTAGCAGCAGTAGCAGCAGTAGTAGTAGCAGCAGTAGCAGTAGCAGCAGTAGTAGCAGTAGCAGTAGTAGCAGTAGTAGCAGCAGTAGCAGTAGTAGCAGTAGCAGTAGCAGCAGTAGTAGCAGTAGCAGTAGTAGCAGCAGCAGCAGCAGTAGCAGTAGTAGCAGTAGTAGCAGTAGTAGCAGCAGTAGCAGTAGCAGCAGTAGTAGCAGTAGTAGCAGCAGCAGCAGCAGTAGTAGCAGTAGTAGCAGTAGTAGCAGCAGTAGCAGCAGCAGCAGCAGCAGCAGCAGTAGTAGCAGTAGTAGCAGTAGCAGCAGTAGTAGCAGCAGTAGCAGTAGCAGCAGTAGCAGCAGCAGCAGCAGCAGCAGCAGTAGTAGCAGTAGTAGCAGTAGCAGCAGCAGCCTTCAGTCTCACACCTGCGCCTCTATAACCACAGGTAACACAGCGGCTGCTTTCCCGCTCATTTAAAAGCATAAAACCATCTGAAAACACGTGTACATCTGTGAAACCTACGTGTATTCGTGCGTAAACTTTTAATAAACGTTTCTTACCCGTGTTAAACTCTCGAAGCATCCAAAACAAACCGAACCAGGCTGAACCAGGAAGTGGAGTGAGTGACAGCAGCGGGAGCCAATGAGGAGCGAGGAAAGTTCTGTCAGGGCGGGACTAAAGACTCCAGGTGAAGTCTATTGGTCTGCGTTATAAACAATCGTTCCGAGAAACAGGTTTTAATTATAACATAGTTTTACATCATGAAGAGTAGTGAAAGGTAAAGTGTTGGATAAAGTCTTAGACACAATAAAAACAACTATTTTCATGTTTTCTATTAAAGCTGGGGAACGTAACTTTGTGTCCCATTAATAACACGTGTAATTTGTCACAGGACGAGTCTCATTAGAAAACATTTAATCTTTTGTTGCAACAATATATCAGAATCAGAATCAGAATTCTTTTTATAGCCATTGTGACTAACAGGAAGTCACAAAGTAGGAAATTCCTTTGTCTCTCGGTGAAAGTAAAAATAGAAAAAGGCCTGTTTAAAAAGAACAAAACATTTCTTACAAGTGCAAGTACACATACAAGAGACATTTAGCAGTGACCGTAAGGAGACCGTAAGGAGACCGTAAAGAGACACCATAAAGGGCCGAGGACAGTGATGAGATATTAAGTGTTCATGAGTCCAAGATATAGTGTTTAGGAGACTTTCTTGTTCTTATTTAAATACTGTGGCCATATACTGTATGTATTGTTTATGTTTTACCTATGAACCGTACTATATTGTGTCCTTAAACATTTAATAATAATATATGGCGTTTTCTCATGATGTACAACAAATCAATAACATGTTTTATTTTCCATTTCTGATGATTGTGATCCTTTCAATAGTAGTTTTAGCAAAGAGTATAGATAACAAGAGCTGTTTGGACATGTTCTATTGAGGTTTGAGGTACTTTTACACTGTTTGTTTTCATTAATATCTGTGAAAACAATGAGTCCCACTAAAACTGGTTTAACCGTCTCTGCTGCTGAAGAACAATTATGAAGCCGTAACTATAATAACAGTGTTTCTCACAGCGATCACCGGTCATTATCTCTGCAGACGACAGAACAGAAGTGTTTAAAGCTGGGGTACGCAACTTTCAAACCACAATAATAGGATAGTTCCTGGCTCTTTCTTCTAACTAGTTTTCTCATGGATGTACTGTATGTTTGGCCTTTGGCATAAAAGTGAAAAAGAGACGAAAAGGTCAAAAAGTGAATCCGAGTTTGTTTTCGGTTTATTAACGGTTTATTTTCAGTAGAGAAAGTGCAAACACAGATGTTTAAATTAACCTTTTGTCTTACACACTTTTATACAGCAATAAATAAGTAAAGCCACTATTTACAAACGCATTTCAGTAAAAACGGTTCAAGTTTTGTACAGAGAAAAAACATTCACTTTTTTTTCCTGAAATATTTCATGACTTAAAAAAAATATGTATTTTTTTTTCCTCTTAAGAGTCCAGCTCCTATTTGCATGATTTCATCAGTAGAACTTTACAACATGAACCTGAGAAAGTATTCCTTCACATATGAGTCCTGAAGATACAAGTATTGCACTTGGTGGTGGTGGTGGCAGTAGTAGTAGTAGTAGCAGTAGTAGAGGCAGTAGTGGTAACAGTGGTGGAATCTTTAGCAGTAGCAGCAGAAACACATCCGTCCAAAAAAACACATAAATACATAATTTTAAAAGTGACTAACAACAGTGATAAAGTACAACAGCACTTTAGGTCACAGCAGGAGAGGTAGTAGTAGCATTAGAAGAAGCAGTAGCAGCAGTAGCAGTAAGAGTAGTAGTAGAAGTAGCAGTAGCAGTAGCAGTAGCAGTAGTAGCAGCAGCAGTAGCAGTAGTAGCAGTAGCAGTAGCAGTAGCAGTAGTAGCAGCAGCAGTAACAGTAGCAGTAGCAGTAGCAGTAGCAGTAGTAGTGGTATTCCTTCAGATGTGGTCAGTGTTGATGAAGTAAGTGATCAGTTGTCCTTTTCCCTTCACGTTGACGACTCCTCGTAAAGTGCAGCTGTAGCCCATGCTCTCCACCATCTGCTGCGTCTCCTCCGTCACCTGGAGACAAAGAAACAAAACAATATTCAATTCGGGCGTTCTGCTCTCCCAAAATTCCATCCGATGGGCGGGGGAGCGACTGAATTTTGCGTTGCATTATGGGTAACACTTGCCTTCGCAACTTCCGGTTCTCTCTGCCCGGCGCATTTTCTCTAAATGGTTGAGTGTTTTCGTCATTTTCTGTATGCAAATACATTCCCGTCTCTAACTAGTGGCATATCGCGCAAATCATCCGTCCAATTCACATTCTTCCCTCTTAGCTGAACTTCATTCTCATTGTTACCATCTGTCACTCGCACACACAGCCGTTTTCGTTCACTCTGCTCGCTGTCATCTTCTTCTAAATCTTCATAAACACCATCCGCTCGTTGAACTAGCAACAACAATTCCTCCTTTCGTTTTCCCACACTGCAAATACCCTTTTGCTTCAACCTTTCACGCAATTCAGGCACTGTCAATCGCTTGTTGTTTTCGTGAGCCATATTCGCCATTGTATGAAATCAACCGGAAGTGAACTGGGCAACAAACAGTGTCATTTTTTGATCACAGCGCCGCTCAGTGGATGGAATTTTGGGAGAGCAGAACGCCCGAATTGAAGTGGCATCAGACTCTGCTGCAAGACATCAACTAAAGGAAGTGGACCCCACAAGTGTGAGACAGCCCCTGTATGTGTGTGTGTGAACATTTTTTGGAGTATCTACACAGGCCGTGCGCAGGTCCGTGTCTTCTGATGCTCTCCCCGTGTAGTTTATGGAGCAGTGTAGAGGACAGTACAGAGGACTGATGTAGGGCAACACAAATCACATGCATGTGTTTGTCTTTCTTCATGGTCTCTGTGCGCTGGTTTGGCCAGACGCCAGACTTTATTAAAGAAAAAAAACGATGTCCAGAATCACTGTAGAACCTGCTGCTCCTCCTGCTGATGTTTAGATACAAGTGCTGTGTGTGTAGATGCAATCTAGAGCCAAGGACCGCGAGAAAAATCATGTTTTACATGAGATTTCAATGGGAGACGCGTTGGTGCGCGCACAAAATTAGAAATACATCCTAAATTAGAGCGCAGCTTCGCGGCATACGCGCGTATAACGCTAGAAGTGTAAATATCATCATAGGTTAACATGGAAAAAAGTTACGCGCGTCTGCTGCGCATATAACGCGTACGTGCTGTAACGCGTAATGTGTAAATTAGCAGTAAGTGTGAGACAGCCCCTTTGTGTGCTTGTGTGTTTGTGTGGACCCCATACGTGTGAGACAGCCCCTGTATGTGTGTGTGTGGACGCCATAAGTGCAAGACAGCCCCTGTTTGTGCGCGAGTGTGGACCCCACAAGTGTGACACAGCCTGTGTGTGTGTGTGGACCCCATAAGTGTGAGACAGCCCCAGTATGTGTGTGGTGGACCCCATAAGTGTGAGACAGCCCCTGTATGTTTGTGTGTGTGTGGACCCCATACGTGTGAGACAGCCCCAGTATGTGTGTGTTTGGACCCCATAAGTGTGAGACAGCCCCAGTATGTGTATGTGTGTGGACCCCATAAGTGTGTGACAGCCCCTGTATGTGTGTGTGGACCCCATAAGTGTGAGACAGCCCAAGTGTGTGTGTGTGTGTGTGTGTGTGTGTGGACCCCATAAGTGTGACACAGCCCCTGTATGTGTGTGTGGACCCCATAAATGTGAGACAGACCCTGTATGTGTGTGTGTGGACCCCATAAGTGTGAGACAGCCCCTGTATGTGTTTGTGTGGACCCCATAAGTGTGAGACAGCCCCTGTATCTGTGTGTGTGGACCCCATAAGTGTGAGACAGCCCCAGTGTGTGTGTGTGTGTGGACCCCATAAGTGTGAGACAGCCCCTGTATGTGTTTGTGTGGACCCCATAAGTGTGAGACAGCCCCTGTATGTGTGTGTGTGGACCCCATAAGTGTGAGAAAGCCCCAGTGTGTGTGTATGACAGAGTGAGGTGTATGGTCAGAGAGTGTAGCAGACCTGTATGACAGAGTGAGGTGTATGGTCAGAGAGTGAAGCAGACCTGTATGACAGAGTGGGGTGTTTGGTCAGAGAGTGTAGCAGACCTGTATACGGTCCAGGACTCCGGTGCTGTCCATGCGGCTCGCTACGTTCACGGTGTTCCCCCAGATGTCGTACTGAGGTTTGTGAGCTCCGATCACACCAGCGATGACAGGACCATGGTTCAGACCTACACAAACACACACACATACACACACACACACACACAAACACATTCAGACACACATGCATAATACATACAGAGACGCACAAAGACACATACAAACACACAAATAGACACAGGCGTGCACACACACACAAATACATACATAGACACACACAGATACACAAAGACACACATACGGAGACACATATACAGATACACAGACACAGGCGCACACACACACACACATATATAGACGGAGACAGAGACACACACAGATACGGAGACACACACACACATGCAAACAGAGACAGAGACACACACACACACATACATACACAGACACACACACATATATAGACAGAGACACACACAGATACAGAGACACACACACACACATGCAGACAGAGACACACACAGACACACACACACAGGCGAAACACACACACACACATATTTTGGTACCAATGAACTAGAACATTGATAGAAGCTGAGGATATTTTGGCTCAGATGAAGTAGAACACGGAAGACAGACATTTTGGCTCAGATGAAAGGACTCACCGATGCGCAGTTTGAAGCTCTGGAAAGAGTGTGTGTTGATGATCTCCAGTTTCCCCATGAGAGCGAAGGCAAACTCCACCATGGACCTGACGTGACCGTACGACAGCTCACTGTTGTCCTGCAGGGGGCGACAGAGAGTTAAAGCTCACACACAGAGTTAAAGCTCACACAGAGTTAAATCTGTGTTACTGTTGCTGTTAGACAAACTACACAAGTTATTCATGAAAAAAGTCACAGACCCCAGCTTTAAATGTCATGACGTCATAAAGTGAGAGGTGCAAGCCAGATCCTGTCAGACCTGTGAAGCTAAGCAGGTCTGTGGTATGAGTATGGATGTAGGTAAACACAGCCTCAGGTCTGTGGTATGAGCCTGGATGGAGGTAAACACAGCCTCAGGTCTGTGCTCTGTGGTATGAGCCTGGATGTAGGTAAACACAGCCTCAGGTCTGTGCTCTGTGGTATGAGCCTGGATGTAGGTAAACACAGCCTCAGGTCTGTGGTCTGTGGTACGAGCCTGGATGTAGGTAAACACAGCCTCAGGTCTGTGGTCTGTGGTATGAGCCTGGATGGAGGTAAACACAGCCTCAGGTCTGTGGTCTGTGGTATGAGCCTGGATGTAGGTAAACACAGCCTCAGGTCACCTTCCTCTCCTCTCCTGGGGGAGTGAGTCCTGCTGCTGCCATGTAGGTGCTGCCGATCGTCTTGATCTTCTCCACGGAGCAGAACTTTGGTTTGGACAGAAGCTGGAACACAAACACATCAATGATCAAGGTTTTTAAAAATGTAAAAGATGAAGATGAAGACGAAGATGATGAAGACGAAGAAGATGAAGACGAAGACGAAGAAGACGAAGAAGATGAAGACGAAGAAGATGATGAAGACGAAGAAGATGAAGACGAAGAAGATGAAGACGAAGAAGATGAAGACGAAGAAGATGATGAAGACGAAGAAGATGATGAAGACGAAGAAGATGAAGACGAAGAAGAAGACGACGAAGAAGATGATGAAGACGAAGAAGATGAAGACGAATAAGAAGACGACGAATAAGATGATGAAGACGAAGAAGATGATGAAGACGAAGAAGATGAAGACGAAGAAGATGAAGACGAAGAAGATGATGAAGACGAAGAAGATGAAGACGAAGAAGATGATGAAGACGAAGAAGATGATGAAGACGAAGAAGAAGAAGAAGAAGACGACGAAGAAGATGATGAAGACGAAGAAGATGAAGACGAATAAGAAGACGACGAATAAGATGATGAAGACGAAGAAGATGATGAAGACGAAGAAGATGAAGACGAAGAAGATGAAGACGAAGAAGATGATGAAGACGAAGAAGATGATGAAGACGAAGAAGATGATGAAGACGAAGAAGAAGAAGAAGAAGACGACGAAGAAGATGATGAAGACGAAGAAGATGAAGACGAATAAGAAGACGACGAATAAGATGATGAAGACGAAGAAGAAGATGAAGACGAATAAGATGATGAAGACGAAGAAGATGAAGACGAAGAAGATGAAGACGAAGAAGATGATGAAGACGAAGAAGATGATGAAGACGAAGAAGATGAAGACGAAGAAGATGAAGACGAAGAAGATGATGAAGACGAAGAAGATGAAGACGAAGATGATGAAGACGAAGAAGATGAAGACGAAGAAGAAGATAAAGACGAAGAAGACGAAGAAGACGAAGAAGATGATGAAGACAAAGAAGACGAAGAAGAAGAAGAAGAAGAAGAAGAAGAAGAAGAAGAAAACGAAGAAGAAGAAGACAAAGAAGAAGAAGAAGACGAAGAAGACGAAGAAGATGAAGAAGATGAAGACAAAGAAGAAGATGAAGACAAAGAAGAAGAAGAAGAAGGAGAAGAAGAAGAGCCTGGTCTCACTCTCACCTCGTCGAAGTCGGAGATGATCTCGTTGAGGAAGCGCAGACACTCGAGTCCGTCTTTGTTGACGCTGCTCTCGCTGTAAAACTCTTTGAACTGTGGCACCGACGCAAACATCACACAGACACACTCATACGACTGACTGTAGAGGTCCTGAGGAACACACATGGTCACAACCAGGGGAGAGAGACCAGAGAGACCACAGAGAGACCAGAGAGACCACAGAGAGACCAAAGAGAGGGACCAGAGAGAGACCAGAGAGAGACCAGAGAGAGACCAAAGAGACCAGAGAGAGACCAGAGAGAGGGACCAGAGAGAGACCAGAGAGAGACCAGAGAGAGGCCAAAGAGAGGGACCAGAGAGAGACCAAAGAGAGGGACCAGAGAGAGACCAGAGAGAGGCCAAAGAGAGGGACCAGAGAGAGACCAAAGAGAGGGACCAGAGAGAGATCAGAGAGAGACCAGAGAGAGACCAGAGAGAGACCAAAGAGACCAGAGAGAGACCAGAGAGAGACCAGAGAGAGACCAAAGAGAGACCAAAGAGAGAGACCAGAGAGAGACCAGAGAGAGACCAAAGAGAGACCAGAGAGACCAGAGAGAGACCAAAGAGAGAGACCAGAGAGGGACCAGAGACCAGAGAGAGGCCAAAGAGAGACCAGAGATAAACCAGAGTCTCCTGGTCTCACCTGGTCCCGGTCTCACCTGGTTGCGGACGTTCTTGCCCATGAAGAAGGAGGCCACATGCTGCGGCAGGACGTTCTCCAGCAGCAGTTTGTTGACGTTCTCCATCGTCTCCATTTCCTCTCGCTCCAAACAGAAGCAGTGATCCAGGAGGAAGTCCACACGGCAGCTCAGCTCGTCCTGACACACACATACTGTGAGGTGTGTTGTTTGGACCCGTGTCACACACATACTGTGGACCATGATCACACCCACACGTACTGTGGAGGCATGTCGTTTGGACCCGTGTCAGATTTACACCACGGGAGACAGGAATGAGGGTCAAGACAAACTCCCCACTTTCAAAATAAATCTTCTAAAGTGAGAGAGAGGAGAGAGACCAGAGAGAGACACCACAGAGAGAGAGACCAGAGAGAGACCAGAGAGAGAGACCACAGAGAGAGAGACCAGAGAGAGACCAGAGAGAGACCAGAGAGAGAGACCACAGAGAGAGAGACCAGAGGGACCAGAGAGAGACCAGAGAGAGACCAGAGAGAGAGACAAGAGAGAGAGACCAGAGAGAGAGACCCGAGAGAGAGACCAGAAAGAGAGACCAGAGACAGAGACCAGAGAGAGAGACAAGAGAGAGTGACCAGAAAGAGAGACCAAAGAGAGAGACAAGAGAGAGAGACCAGAGAGTGACCTTTACTGTATCTGTTCATAAATAATAAAATAATAAAAATCCAGTTGTATATTTTGTGAACAGTTTCTTTCACCTGTCGAGCCAAGATGAGTCCCACCACATAGAATATGACAAGCCAGACTCCGGACAGGATCTGAGGGTCTTTGAGTACTCCGGGTCTGAGGAGGAGGACCAGGAGAACCACTCATGTCAGAACAGAATGTGATAGAGTATAAAATAATAAAACATGTACTGTAAATAAAAGTAATATCTATGTTTGTTATGGTCCTTTGAATGTATTCCTGAGAATCTTTGGCCCAGGTTTTATGATTTGATGTGAAGTATAAAAAGTAATGTGTCACTTCTATCACTAGAGGGAGTGTTTGTGTCTGATATAATGTAAAATTCTAATTCTAAACAAAATTGAAGAAAATACACGAAAAGCAGTTCTCCAGCGTTCCGTCTATGGTGTCATAGATCCACAATAAACAATTTTTGACTTTGAGAAGTTTGTTCCAAGATGATCCATGATTCTCTTTATTTTCTAATGAAGGTAAAACATTTCAAACACCACTTCTGTATAAAGAACAATATCTGTAGTTTTTAGGCTAATCCTGCACATTCTGCCAATGTAACACATTTACAGTATTATTATTTCAATCACATTAGATTAGATCAGTATTTTTTCCCACTACAGCACATTTACGCTTTGGAACACATTTTACCCATTTTGGGAGGAGCCAAGATCTCTCCTCTATCACTCTCTGTATCCTCTCTTTCTCCTGTCTCCTCTCCTCTCTCCTCTCTCCTCTGTTTAGTCTCCTCTCTCTCCTCTGTTTAGTCTCCTCTCTCTCCTCTGTTTAGTCTCCTCTGTTTAGTCTCTCTCTCTCTGTTTAGTCTCCTCTCTCTCCTCTGTTTAGTCTCCTCTCTCTCCTCTGTTTAGTCTCCTCTCTCCTCTGTTTAGTCTCCTCTCTCTCCTCTGTTTAGTCTCCTCTCTCTCCTCTTTTAGTCTCCTCTCTCTCCTCTGTTTAGTCTCCTCCTCTCTCCTCTGTTTAGTCTCCTCTCTCTCCTCTGTTTAGTCTCCTCTCTCCTCTGTTTAGTCTCCTCTCTCTCCTCTGTTTAGTCTCCTCTCTCCTCTGTTTAGTCTCCTCTCTCTCCTCTGTTTAGTCTCCTCTCTCTCCTCTGTTTAGTCTCCTCTCTCCTCTGTTTAGTCTCCTCTCTCTCCTCTGTTTAGTCTCCTCTCTCTCCTCTGTTTAGTCTCCTCTCTCTCCTCTGTTTAGTCTCCTCTCTCTCCTCTGTTTAGTCTCCTCTCTCTCCTCTGTTTAGTCTCCTCTCTCGCCTCTGTTTAGTCTCCTCTCTCCTCTGTTTAGTCTCCTCTCCTCTCTCCTCTGTTTAGTCTCCTCTCCTCTCTCCTCTGTTTAGTCTCCTCTCTCTCCTCTGTTTAGTCTCCTCTCTCTCCTCTGTTTAGTCTCCTCTCTCCTCTGTTTAGTCTCCTCTCTCCTTGTTTAGTCTCCTCTCTCCTCTGTTTAGTCTCCTCTCTCTCCTCTGTTTAGTCTCCTCTCTCTCCTCTGTTTAGTCTCCTCTCTCTCCTCTGTTTAGTCTCCTCTCTCTCCTCTGTTTAGTCTCCTCTCCTCTCTCCTCTGTTTAGTCTCCTCTCTCTCCTCTGTTTAGTCTCCTCTCTCTCCTCTGTTTAGTCTCCTCTCTCTCCTCTGTTTAGTCTCCTCTCTCTCCTCTGTTTAGTCTCCTCTCTCTCCTCTGTTTAGTCTCCTCTCTCTCCTCTGTTTAGTCTCCTCTCTCTCCTCTGTTTAGTCTCCTCTCTCTCCTCTGTTTAGTCTCCTCTCTCTCCTCTGTTTAGTCTCCTCTCTCCTCTGTTTAGTCTCCTCTCTCCTCTGTTTAGTCTCCTCTCTCTCCTCTGTTTAGTCTCCTCTCTCTCCTCTGTTTAGTCTCTCTCTCTCTCCTCCTCTGTTTAGTCTCCTCTCTCCTCTGTTTAGTCTCCTCTCTCTCCTCTGTTTAGTCTCCTCTCTCTCCTCTGTTTAGTCTCCTCTCTCTCCTCTGTTTAGTCCTCCTCTTCTCCTCTGTTTAGTCTCCTCTCTCTCCTCTGTTTAGTCTCCTCTCTCCTCTGTTTAGTCTCCTCTCTCTCCTCTGTTTAGTCTCCTCTCTCTCCTCTGTTTAGTCTCCTCTCTCTCCTCTGTTTAGTCTCTCTCTCCTCTGTTTAGTCTCCTCTCTCTCCTCTGTTTAGTCTCCTCTCTCTCCTCTGTTTTAGTCTCCTCTCTCCTCTGTTTAGTCTCCTCTCTCTCCTCTGTTTAGTCTCCTCTCTCCTCTGTTTAGTCTCCTCTCCTCTCCTCTCTCCTCTGTTTAGTCTCCTCTCTCCTCTGTTTAGTCTCCTCTCTCTCCTCTGTTTAGTCTCCTCTCTCTCCTCTGTTTAGTCTCCTCTCTCTCTGTTTAGTCTCTCTCTCTCCTCTGTTTAGTCTCCTCTCTCCTCTGTTTAGTCTCCTCTCTCTCTCTGTTTAGTCTCCTCTCTCCTCTGTTTAGTCTCCTCTCTCCTCTGTGTAGTCTCCTCTCTCTCCTCTGTTTAGTCTCCTCTCTCTCCTCTGTTTAGTCTCCTCTCTCTCTGTTTAGTCCTCCTCTCCTCTGTTTAGTCTCCTCTCTCTCCTCTGTTTAGTCTCCTCTCTCTCCTCTGTTTAGTCTCCTCTCTCTGTTGTAGTCTCCCTCTCTCCTCTTTTAGTCTCCTCTCTCTCTCTGTTTAGTCTCCTCTCTCCTCTGATTAGTCTCTCCTCTCTCTGTTTTAGTCTCCTCTCCTCTGTTTTAGTCTCCTCTCTCTCTGTTTAGTCTCCTCTCTCTCCTCTGTTTAGTCTCCTCTCTCTCCTCTGTTTAGTCTCCTCTCTCTCTCTGTTTAGTCTCCTCTCTCCTCTGTTTAGTCTCCTCTCTCTCCTCTGTTTAGTCTCCTCTCTCCTCTGTTTAGTCCTCTCCTCTCTGATTAGTCTCCTCCTCTCCTCTGTTTAGTCTCCTCTCTCCTCTGTTTAGTCTCTCTCTCTCCTCTGTTTAGTCTCCTCTCTCCTCTGTTTAGTCTCATCTCTCTCTCCTCTGTTTAGTCTCCTCTCCTCTCTCTCCTCTGTTTAGTCTCCTCTCTCTCCTCTGTTTAGTCTCTCTCTCTCTCTCTCTGTTTAGTCTCCTCTCTCTCCTCTGTTTAGTCTCCTCCTCTCTCTCCTCTGTTTAGTCTCCTCTCTCCTCTCTCTCTCCTCTCACTCCTCTAGTCTCCTCTCCTCTCTCTCCTCTGTTTAGTCTCCTCTCCTCCTCTGTTAATAGTCTCATCTGCTCTCTCCTCCTGTGTATAGGTCTCCTCTCTCTCTCTCCCTCTGTTTAGTCTCCTCTCTCTCTCTCTGTTATAGGCTCCTAGCCTCTCTCTCTTAGTCCTCTCTCTCCTCTCTGTTTAGTCTCCTCTCCTCTCTCTCTCCTCTGTTTAGTCCTCCTCTCCTCTCTCTCCTCTGTTTAGTCTCCTCCTCCTCTCTATCACTCTTTAGAGTCCTCTCTCTCTGTTAGTCACATCTCTCTCACTCCTCTGATTAGTCTCCTCTCCTCTTTTAGTCTCCTCTCTCCTCTGTTTAGTCTCATCTCCTCTCTCTCCTCTGTTTAGTCTCCGTCTCCTCTCTCTCTCTGTTTAGTCTCCTCTCTCTCCTCTGTTTTATCTCTCTCTGGTCTCTCTCCTCTGTTTAGTCTCCTCTCTCTCTCTCTCTGTTTACTGTCTCCTCTCCTCTCTCTCCTTTGTTTAGTCTCCTCTCCTCTCTCTCCTCTGTTTAGTCTCTCTCTCTCTCCTCTGTTTAGTCTCCTCTCTCCTCTGTTTAGTCTCACTCTCCTCTCTCTCCTCCTCTTTTAGTCTCCTCTCTCTCCTCTGTTTAGTCTCCTCTCCTCTCTCTCTCCTCTGGTTTTAGTCTCCTCTCTCTCCTCTGTTTAGTCTCCTCTCTCTCCTCTGTTTAGTCTCCTCTCTCTCCTCTGTTTAGTCTCCTCTCTCCTCTGTTTAGTCTCCTCTCCTCTCTCTCCTCTGTTTAGTCTCCTCTCCTCTCTCTCCTCTGTTTAGTCTCCTCTCCCCTCTCTCCCCTCTTCTGTCAAAAATGATAATTATACAAATATTAGTCAGTTTTAGTTTGACAACCAGAGGGATTCAACATGGAGCACTCTGAGGGGGAGGGGGAGTGTGGCTGGAGCTAAACACAGCCGCAGGTCAGTGTGTGATGAGTGTTGGAGAAAAGAGAGGTTGATGACCCACTTAAACTGGAGGTAAACATGAAAACCTGTGTTCAGTGTCACTTGTGAAGAGTGTGGTGAATTAATAACATGGCTACCCCTCTTCCCCACCACTCTCAGCCTGAGAGAGGGGGAGAAAGGGGGAGAGATTTCTTTGATTTTTAACAGACCTTTATTTGTCCATTAAAACAAGTCAATCACATTACAATATTGGAGGGAGAGGGGACAGGGGAGAGAAGAGAGAGGATAGAGAGAGTAGAGAGGGGGAGGGAGGAGAGAGATGAGAGGAGAGAAGTGAGATGAAAGGAGAGAGGAAAGGAGATAGGAGAGGAGAGAGAGGAGAGAGAGCAGAGAGGAGAGAGCAGAGAGGGGAGAGAGGAGAGAGAGGGGAGAGAGGAGAGGGAGAGGAGAGAGCGCAGAGAGGAGAGAGCGCAGAGAGGGAGAGAGAGAGAGAGAGAGGAGAGAGAGCAGAGAGGGGGGAGAGGAGAGAGAGGAGAGAGAGGCAGAGAGAGGAGAGAGAGAGCAGAGAGGGGAGAGAGGAGAGAGAGGAGAGAGAGGAGAGAGAGCAGAGAGGAGAGAGAGCAGAGAGAGGAGAGAGGAGAGAGAGAGGGAGAGAGCAGAGGAGGGGAGAGAGGAGAGCGAGGAGAGAGGAGAGAGAGGAGAGAGAGGAGAGAGAGGAGAGAGAGCAGAGAGGGGAGAGAGGAGAGAGAGAGGAGAGAGAGGAGAGAGAGCAGAGAGGAGAGAGAGCAGAGAGGGGGGAGAGAGGAGAGAGAGAGGGAGAGAGCGCAGAGAGGAGAGAGCGCAGAGAGGGAGAGAGGAGGAGAGAGAGGAGAGGAGAGCAGAGAGAGGGGGAGAGTGAGAGAGAGAGAGAGAGCAGAGAGGGGAGAGAGGAGAGAGCGCAGAGAGGAGAGAGCGCAGAGAGGGAGAGAGAGGAGAGAGAGAGAGGCGAGAGAGCAGAGAGGGGAGAGAGGGAGGAGAGGAGGAGAGGAGAGCGCAGAGAGGGGAGAGAGGAGAGAGAGGAGAGAGAGCAGAGAGGGGGAGAGAGGAGAGAGAGGGAGAGAGCAGAGAGGGGAGAGAGGAGAGAGAGGAGCGAGAGAGGAGAGAGAGCAGAGAGGAGAGGAGAGCAGAGAGGGGAGAGAGAGAGAGAGAGGGAGAGAGCGCAGAGAGTAGAGAGCGCAGAGAGGGGAGAGAGGAGAGAGGAGAGAGAGCAGAGGGGGGGAGAGGAGAGAGATGGAGAGAGAGAGCAGAGGAGGGAGAGAGGAGAGAGCGCAGAGAGAGAGAGAGAGCGCAGAGAGGGGAGAGAGGAGAGAGAGGAGAGAGAGCAGAGAGGGGAGAGAGGATGAGAGGAGAGAGCGCAGAGAGAGGGGAGAGAGAGGAGAGAGAGGAGAGAGAGCAGAGAGGGGAGAGAGGAGAGAGAGGAGAGAGAGCAGAGAGGGAGAGAGAGGAGAGAGATGAGAGAGAGGAGAGAGAAGCAGAGAGGAGAGAGCGCAGAGAGGGGAGAGAGGAGAGCGGAGCGAGAGCAGAGAGAGGAGCGAGAGCAGGAGGGGGAGAGAGGAGAGAGAGGAAGGAGAGAGCAGAGAGGGGAGCGAGGTGAGAGGACGAGAGGGATGAGAGCAGAGATGGCGAGGGGAGAGAGAGGACGGTAGAGAGAGCAGCCGAGGGGAGCGAGAGGAGAGAGAGGAGAGAGCGCAGAGAGGGGGAGAGCGAGGAGAGAGGAGAGAGAGCAGAATTGAGCGGGGAGAGAGGAGAGAGAGGAGAGAGAGCAGAGAGGGGAGAGAGGAGAGAGAGGAGAGAGCGCAGAGAGGGGGGGGAGAGCGTAGAGAAGAGAGGGATAGAGAGAGTAGAGAGTGGGAGGGAGAGAAAGCTGAGAGGAGAGAAGTGAGATGAAAGGAGAGAGGAAAGGAGATAGGAGAGGAGAGAGAGGAGAGAGCGCAGAGAGGAGAGAGAGAGTAGAGAAGAGAGAGAAGAGAGAGACAAGAGGGCCGAAAGAGGATGCGAGGGGAGAGAGGGAGAATGAGAGCGCGTAGAGCGAGAGAGGGGGGCGAAGAGGTGAAGATGAGAGCGGGTGAGGGAGTTGAGTAGAGCGGAGAGAGCATAGAGAGAGGATTGACACAGCAGAGATTCTGTGCGCTGTATATGTGTGTGTGTGTGTCTCTCAAATGTGTGTGTGTGTGGTTTTGTGTGTCTCACTTGTCTGTGTGTGTCTCACTTGTGTGTGTGTGTGTGTCTCACTTGTGTATGGTTGTGTGTGTGTGTGTGGTTTTGTGTGTCTCACTTGTGTGTGTGTGTGTGTGTGTGTGTCTCACTTGTGTGTGTGGTTGTAGAGCAGCTCTTCCAGGCAGGAGGACCTTGGTTCATAGACGTAGAGGAACAGAGGCAGATACACGACCACAGCCGCCGTCAGCAGCAGCACCTTCACCGAGAGACAGGTCTTCACGAACACCACGGCCCCCAGCAGAGCCAGCAGGCAGCAGTACAGGTAATACTGCAACACAAAGTCACAAAGTCACTGCACCACGGCCCCCAGCAGAGCCAGCAGGCAGCAGTACAGGTAATACTGCAACACAAAGTCACAAAGTCACTGCACCACGGCCCCCAGCAGAGCCAGCAGGCAGCAGTACAGGTAATACTGCAACACAAAGTCACAAAGTCCACTACACCACGGCCCCCAGCAGAGCCAGCAGGCAGCAGTACAGGTGATACTGCAACACAAAGTCACAAAGTCACTGCACCACGGCCCCCCAGCAGAGCCAGCAGGCAGCAGTACAGGTAATACTGCCAACACAAAGTCACAAAGTCACTGCACCCCACGGCCCCCAGCAGAGCCAGCAGGCAGCAGTACAGGTAATACTGCAACACAAAGTCACAAAGTCACTACACCACGGCCCCAGCAGAGCCAGCAGGCAGCAGTACAGGTAATACTGCAACACAAAGTCACAAAGTCACTACACCACGGCCCCCAGCAGAGCCAGCAGGCAGCAGTACAGGTAATACTGCAACACAAAGTCACAAAGTCACTACACCACGGCCCCCAGCAGAGCCAGCAGGCAGCAGTACAGGTAATACTGCAACACAAAGTCACCAAGTCACTACACCACGGCCCCAGGGCAGAGCCAGCAGGCAGCAGTACAGGTAATACTGCAACACAAAGTCACAAAGTCACTACACCCACGGCCCCCAGCAGAGCCAGCAGGCCGCAGTACAGGTAATACTGCAACACAAAGTCACAAAGTCACTACACCACGGCCCCCAGCAGAGCCAGCAGGCAGCAAGTACAGGTAATACTGCAACACAAAGTCACAAAGTCACTACACCACGGCCCCCAGCAGAGCCAGCAGGCAGCAGTACAGGTAATACTGCAACACAAAGTCACAAAGTCACTACACCACGGCCCCCAGCAGAGCCAGCAGGCAGCAGTACAGGTAATACTGCAACACAAAGTCACAAAGTCACACCACAGTCACTCTCCTGTCCTACTATTTAATTATACTGAACATGACTCATGTGGGCTGTGATTGAAGTGTGAAAAACCAGGTCCAAAGCAGGTCAAAACCAGGTCTGAACTCGGTCTAAAGTGGGTCTGATGCAAGTCTAAACAAAGACTGAATCAGATCTACAGAAGGTCTAAACCAGGACTGAACCATGTCCATTTGACCTAACTCAAAACAGTATATAACAGTGGTCTCTCTCTGGTCTCTCTCTGGTCTCTCTCTGGTCTCTCTCTGGTCTCTCTCTGGTCTCTCTCTGGTCTCTCTCTGGTCTCTCTCTGGTCTCTCTGTGAGTGATTTCATAACACTTTTAAGCAACTTTTGTTAAAGTTAAACTCATCATTCTATCAATGTGCAGAAGCCTGTACTTTTCCACTTTATGTTTTGTCTATCTGAAGGCCAAGCTACAAGCACACCGTGGAAGCTGCTGATTGGAGGTCTCCATGCCTCCGCTCTGTATAATACACTTGCATTCTCTTGTATCTGTGATCGTGTGCTTTGATCGTGCTGTCTCTACCATCGACAATAAAACATGTCTTCTGTCTGAATTTAAGACGCGATCCCAGACTTGGTACATCTTCTTCAGGTGGTGGAAGGATGCGGGCATTGTCTATAACATCTAGAGAACAGAAGACTACTTGTTTTTTTTACACAAAAAGTGTTTTTTTTTAAGCCAAAACTGAGAAACCTCAAGAGAATGCATCTGGACCAGCACACTTGGACTATCTGCACAGCCCCTGAGTCCACTCAGGCCTGCTGTGAGCTGCTGAGACATGGACAATACCAGCGTCCTCTTTTGCATGGACATCATTTGGAACAATTTGGACATAATTTGGAACAATCTGGATTTCTGAATTTGGACATAAATTTGGACTGAATTGGATTGCTGAATCTGGACATGAAGCTGAAACGTGTGATTGAAAGACACGTCACAGAAGAATTCATGGCTCGACACAAATGCAGCCTGAAGAAACCAACAGGAGAAGTGGGAGAGACTGTTTTCAAAGCAATATCTGGAATCACCATCGACTGATGAAGTTTGGTATTTTACTGAAGATTGTTGACAAGTTTTATGAAAGATCTGAAAATGTTTTATGAGTTTTCTGAGTTTTTGAAGTATTCCGAGTTCTGAGTTTTTTGAGGTACCGAGTGAAGTACCGAGTTTATGAGTTTTTGAAGTATTGAGTTATGATGTTATGTTGCTGTTTATGATCCTGATGGTCACACGTGAATGTATGACCAGAGGGGGGAATGTGAATTTCATAACACTTTTAAGCAACTTTTGTTAAAGTTAAACTCATCATTCTATCAATGTGCAGAAGCCTGTACTTTTCCACTTTATGTTTTGTCTATCTGAAGGCCAAGCTACAAGCACACCGTGGAAGCTGCTGATTGGAGGTCTCCATGCCTCCGCTCTGTATAATACACTTGCATTCTATTGTATCTGTGATCGTGTGCTTTGATCGTGCTGTCTCTACCATCGACAATAAAACATGTCTTCTGTCTGAATTAAAGACGCGATCCCAGACTATGTCATCTTCTTCATCTCTCTGGTCTCTCTCTGGTCTCTCTCTGGTCTCTCTCTGGTCTCTCTCTGGCCTCTCTCTGGCCTCTCTCTGGTGTCATAAGGCTCCATTGTGGTGCCTGTAGACTGTGACGTAGACTGTTCAGTGTTGCTCCCAAACCGGTCTGACCAGTGTGTGCTTTGATGGTGTGTAACTCACTGGTCCAGTGTAGAGCCTGAGTCTCTGCAGCTCTGTGCTGTTGGTGATGGACGTGCAGTTGTCTCCTGGTTGAAAGAACTGGACAGAGACAAACATAAGATGCATTTCCGTTTCCTGAGCACATGTGTGTTGTATACAGCTGTGGTTCACTGACGTAGTTGAGGATTCCCATGGTGCAGGTCAGCAGCACACACAGAATGACCACGAAGAGACGCAGAGCGGCTCGGGCTGAAGCTCCACCAGGACATCCATAGACCCACTGCACACTGAGGGGCAGCTTCGACCTCCATCTCTGCACCAACAGGAACCACACACGATCAGGGCTACAGCCACCAAGGAAGACATTTCATACTATTTAATATTAAAACACTATTTAGGCATAAAACCACAAAACATGAATGAAGCTCTTTAATGAGTCTGGCTTAGATGATATGTTTGTATTTATCTCTGTATTTACTGTATATATTATACCAAAATCATCAGCAAATGTGCTCCTGCTCCCTGGCAACTGATGATGTGCGCTTTTGCTAAAGAAATAATTGTAATTTAACTAATAAATAAATGATGAATAATGAATTGATTAATGAATTATATTGATGAATAAATTAATTACTAAACTATACAATTTAATGTGATTTAACGATTCCTCCTCGACAGAATCAAATGGAGAACAGAGAAATGCAATAAAAACAAACACATAGGAGCTATTAGTCCATAGGGAGTGGGACTGAGGCTGTAGACCCAGGACTGAGGCTGTAGACCCAGGACTGAGGCTGTAGACCCAGGACTGAGGCTGTAGATCCAGGACTGAGGCTGTAGACCCAGGACTGAGGCTGTAAATCCAGGACTGAGGCTGTAAACCCAGGACTGAGGCTGTAGATCCAGGACTGAGGCTGTAGATCCAGGACTGAGGCTGTAAACCCAGGACTGAGGCTGTAAACCCAGGACTGAGGCTGTAGACCCAGGAATGAGGCTGTAGACCCAGGACTGAGGCTGTAGACCCGGGACTGAGGCTGTAGACCCAGGACTGAGGCTGTAGACCCAGGAATGAGGCTGTAGACCCAGGACTGAGGCTGTAGACCCAGGACTGAGTCTTTTTTAAGTAGAAATTAAAGGATTAAAATTTATCTTAGCATAAAATTCCCCACTTCTACCACCAGAGGGCAGCGTTGTATTTGCTTTTTTTCAACATCCAAAAATACATGCTGCAAATCTCACTTCTCGCTCCTTTAGAGGCAGTAGTTTTGAGACCAGAGAGAGAGAGACCAGTGAGAGACCAGAGAGACCAAAGAGACAAGAGAGAGGACCGAGCCGAGAGACCAGAGAGAGAGACCAGAGAGAGACCAGAGAGAGAGACCCCAAGATGGGGGGGGAGAAGACCAGAGGAGAGACCAGAGAGAGACCAGAGAGAGACCAGAGAGACTGGAGAGAGACCCAAAGAGACCAGAGGAGAGACCCAGAGAGGAGACCAGAGAGAGAGACCAGAGAGACACCAGAGAGACTGGAGAGAGACCAAAGAGACCAGAGAGAGACCAGAGAGAGACCAGAGAGAGACCAAAGAGACTGGAGAGAGACCAAAGAGACTAGAGAGACCAGAGAGAGACCAGAGAGAGACCAGAGAGAGACCAGAAAGAGAAAGGAAGTTTGTACTGCTTAACACCTCGAGCTAACTAAGTCAGCTAGCTCCTGTACATTTGTGACTAGATAGAAGAACCAGAGCTGAGACTAAAAGACCACAGAGAGAACCGAGAGACATGTAGAGACAGGAGAGACCAGAGAGAGGGCCAGGAGAGAGGCTCAGAGAGGACCGCAGAGACCCAGCAGCCATGAGAGAGACCAGTAGACTGAGACCATAAGAGAGACCAGACGAGAGACCTAGAGAAGCGACGAATGAGAGACCAGAAACAGGACCAGCACCGGAGCGTGAGACCAGTACGACACGCCACGAGAAGTACCTGAGAGACCAAGAGACAACAGAGTGAGACCAGAGAGAGACTGCAGAGTAGAGACCTGTGAGCAGAGACCAGTGAGGCTAGAGCTAGAGCTGAACCCAGAGAGAGACCAGGAGAGAGACCAGAGAGAGAGACCAGAGAGAGAGACAGAGAGAGACCAGGTGAGAGCGACCATGAGAGAGACCAGAGAACTAGAGTAAGAAAGACCGAGAGAGAGACCAGAGAGAGACCAGAGAGAGACCAGAGAGAGACCAGAGAGAGACCAGAGAGAGAGAGAGACCAGAGAGAGACCAGAGAGAGACCAGAGAGACCAGAGAGAGACCAGAGATGAGACCAGAGAGAGACCAGAGAGAGACCAGAGAGAGACCAGGTAGAGACCAGAGAGAGACCAGAGAGAGAGACCAGAGAGAGACCAGAGAGAGACCAGAGAGAGACCAGAGAGAGACCAGAGAGAGACCAGAGAGAGACCAGAGAGAGTCCAGAGAGAGACCAGAGAGAGACCAGAGAGAGACCAGAGAGAGACCAGAGAGAGACCAGAGAGAGAACCAGAGAGAGACCAGAGAGAGTCCAGAGAGAGCGAGAGACCTAGAGAGAGAGAGACCAGAGAGAGAGACCAGAGAGAGTCCCAGAGAGCGAGAGACTAGAGAGAGAGAGAGACTAGAAAGAGACCAGAGCGAGAGACCAGAGAGAGACCAGAGAGAGAGAGACTAGAGAGAGACCAGAGAGAGCGAGAGACTAGAGAGAGAGAGAGACTAGAGAGAGACCAGAGAGAGGGAGACTAGAAAGAGACCGGAGAGAGAGCCAAGAGACTAGAGAGAGACCAGAACTACAAAAGAGACCAGAGAGAGACCAGAGAGAGTCCAGAGAGCGAGAGACTAGAGAGAGAGAGACTAGAGAGAGACCAGAGAGAGGAGACTAGAAAGAGACCAGACGAGAGAGACCAGAGAGAGACCAGAGAGAGAGACCAGAGAGAGACTAGAGAGAGACCAGAGAGAGGGAGACTAGAAAGAGACCGGAGAGAGAGCCAAGAGACTAGAGAGAGACCAGAACTACAAAAGAGACTAAGAGAGAGACCAGATAAAGACCATAGAGAGACCAGAGAGAGTCCAGAGAGAGACCAGAGAGAGACCAGAGAGAGACCAGAGAGAGAGACTAGAGAGAAGACCAGAGAGAGACTAGAGAGAGACCAGAGAGAGACTAGAGAGAGACCGGATATAGAGACAATGGAGAGACCAGAGAGAGACCAATATGACATCACACTTTTCTGCGTCTAAAATCAGAGCATTGTCCATAAATCAGTTTTGGTCATTTTTCAGCTTTTTTACAATTACGTGTCCATGTTTGCAGCTCCCCCTGGTGGCAGCGCAGGGAGTTACAGGCAGTTATTTTCTAAAGCAAAACTCACTTTTCGGAGACGAGCATTTGTACGGTGAACACGGTGATGAAGATGAGCGCGAGGACGGACATGGAGCGGTGCAGCCCCGGAACTTCAGACAGACGGAACTGGACACAAACACAAGACACATGAGAAGAGTGGAAACTACTACCTGTGAATTTCAGACTATAAGCCGCACCTTTTTCTAGTTCTTTCATCCCCGAGGCTTATGTAGTGATGCGGCTAATATGCCTTTTTTTAGAAGCTACAGGACATTGTTTTATTGTCGAAACAGATGAAGATGAATGAGTCAGGTTAGGGAGAGACCAGAGAGAGAGAGACCACACATCTGGTCTGGCTCTCTCTGGTCTCTCTCTGGTCTCTCTCTCTGGTCTCTCTCTCTGGTCTCTCTCTCTGGTCTCTCTCTCTGGTCTCTCTCTCTGGTGTCTCTCTCTGGTCTCTCTCTGGTCTCTCTCTCTGGTCTCTCTCTCTGGTCTCTCTCTCTGGTCTCTCTCTCTCTGGTCTCTCTCTCTGGTCTCTCTCTCTGGTCTCTCTCTCTGGTCTCTCTCTCTGGTCTCTCTCTCTGGTCTCTCTCTCTGGTCTCTCTCTCTGGTCTCTCTCTCTGGTCTCTCTCTCTGGTCTCTCTCTCTGGTCTGTCCAGCTAAAACAGTCTCTCTGCTACATTAAACATGAAAACCAGCAGCTACAGTATATTAAAGTGCGGCTCATGGTCCAGAAAGAACGGTATGTAAAGTATGTGAAGGAATGAAAACCTTTCTCTCCAGAGTCAAGTCGTTGAACAGCAGAGTCAAACAATTCAGCTTCTTTTTCCTCCACCTAAAGAAAACAGAAGACACAAATGTATAACTGACATTTAAAGCTGGGGTGCGTAACTTTCAAAGTAATACAACTCAATAATAAGATCTATGTCACTAGTCTCTGGTTCTATAATGGTTTGCTTCTATCACAAGTTTGTACTGTAAGACCAGAGAGAGAGACCAGAAAGAGAGAGACCAGAGAGAGAGACCAGAGAGGGACCAGAGAGAGACCAGAGGCCAAAGAGAGACCAGAGAGAGACCAGAGAGAGACCGAGAGAGAGACACCAGAGAGAGACCAGAGAGAGGCCAGAGAGAGACCAGAGAGAGACCAGAGAGAGACCAGAGAGAGACCAGAAAGAGAGAGACCAGAGAGAGACCAGAGAGGGACCAGAGAGAGACCAGAGAGGGACCAGAGAAAGACCAGAGAGGGACCAGAGAAAGACCAGAGAGAGACCAGAGAGAGACCAGAGACAGACCAGAAAGAGAACAAGGAGAGACCAGGTGGAGACCAGAGAGAGGCCAGAGGCAGACCAGAGAGAGACCAAAGAGAGAAAGACCAAAGAAAGACCAGAGCGAGACCAAAGAGAAACATATCTGTGTCAGAAGTTCCTGATCTTAGCGTGGAAATGATGGAGAATTTAAAACACCAGTCTGTTTTTACCCTGCTGTGTCCATTGGATCCAGAGAAGCACACCCTCTGTCCTCAACCATCGCCCTGAGAAAGAAAACTATATGAAACCAGGACTTCTTTATTTGCTTCATGTGGAGAACACTCCTTAAAGCTGGGGTACCTCACTTTCTTTACAATAATAACACAGTGTTGTTTGTTCAGTAAGTCTGATAAAAGCAAAAGGTATACAACAAATCAGACCACAACCTGCTGTGCTCTTCTCATTAGAAAACGACCAGAGAGAGACCAGAGAGAGACCAGAGAGAGACCAGAGAGAGACCAGAGAGAGAGACCAGAGAGAGACCAGAGAGAGAGACCAGAGAGAGACCAGAGAGAGACCAGAGAGAAACCAGAGAGAGACCAGAGAGAGAACAGAGAAACCAGAAAGAGAGACCAAGGAGAGACCAGGTGGAGACCAGAGAGAGACCAGGGAGACCAGAGACAGACCAGGTAGAGACCAGAGAAACCAGAAAGAGAACAAGGAGAGACCAGGTGGAGACCAGAGAGAGGCCAGAGGCAGACCAGAGAGAGACCAAAGAGAGAAAGACCAAAGACAGACCAGAGCGAGACCAAAGAGAAACATATCTGTGTCAGAAGTTCCTGATCTTAGCGTGGAAATGATGGAGAATTTAAAACACCAGTCTGTTTTTACCCTGCTGTGTCCATTGGATCCAGAGAAGCACACCCTCTGTCCTCAACCATCGCCCTGAGAAAGAAAACTATATGAAACCAGGACTTCTTTACCTGCTTCATGTGGAGAACACTGCTTAAAGCTGGGGTACCTCACTTTCTTTACAATAATAACACAGTGTTGTTTGTTCAGTAAGTCTGATAAAAGCAAAAGGTATACAACAAATCAGACCACAACCTGCTGTGCTCTTCTCATTAGAAAACGACCAGAGAGAGACCAGAGAGAGACCAGAGAGAGACCAGAGAGAGACCAGAGAGAGACCAGAGAGAGAGTGAGAGAGAGACCAGAGAGACACCAGAGAGAGAGACCAGAGAGACACCAGAGAGAGACCAGAGAGAGACCAGAGAGAGACCAGAGAGAGACCAGAGAGACACCAGAGAGAGACCAGAGAGACACCAGAGAGAGACCAGAGAGAGAGTGAGAGAGAGACCAGAGAGAGACCAGAGAGAGACCAGAGAGAGACCAGAGAGACACCAGAGAGAGACCAGAGAGACACCAGAGAGAGACCAGAGAGAGAGTGAGAGAGAGACCAGAGAGACACCAAAGAGAGACCAGAGAGAGACCAGAGAGAGACCAGAGAGACACCAGAGAGACACCAGAGAGACACCAGAGAGACACCAGAGAGACACCAGAGAGAGACCAGAGAGAGACCAGAGAGACACCAGAGAGACACCAGAGAGACACCAGAGAGAGACCAGAGAGAGACCAGAGAGAGACCAGAGAGACCAGAGAGAGACCAGAGAGACACCAGAGAGAGACCAGAAAGAGACCAGAGAGACACCAGAGAGAGACCAGAGAGACACCAGAGCGACACCAGAGCGACACCAGAGAGAGGCAAGAGAGAGACAAGAGCCAGAAAAAAGAGAGACCAGATAACAGCCAGAGAGAGAGAGACCAAAGAGAGAGGTCAGAGAGAGACCAGTTAACAGCCAGAGAGAGGGACCAGAGAGAGGGAGAGAGGCCAAAGAGAGAGGCCAGAGAGAGAGTGAGAGAGAGACCAGAGAGAGACCAGAAAACAGCCAGAGAGAGACAAACCAGAGAGAAAGAGAGAGTGAGACCAGAGAGAGGCACCAGAGAAAGGCTAGAAAGAGGGACCAGAAGGAGAGCAGAGAGAGACCTGAGCGAGAGGCCAAAATTACATGCAAATGAAAACTAGTGGTAGAATCAGCCTGTTCCATATGGAGCGGTTTGAAAGTTAGGTCCCTCAGCTTTAATGTCAGGGGAATAGTCTGGATATAGTATAATTGTTTTTGAGTATTTGCAGATGTCAAAGACTCACGGTCCAGAGGCGTTGTTCTGATAGGATCCTCTTTCCTGCAGCAAACACAGACCTTATTAAAGCAAATATCACCAAAGTCATAAAACACAAAAATCAATGTCAGATTAGTGACTGAGATCTCTGCAGAACCATGTAGCAGTGTGTCATGTGTTCAACTGTGCGCACTCTATCTCTCTGGTCTCTCTCTCTGGCCTCTCTTTCTGGCCTCTCTCTCTGGTCTCTCTCTCTGGTCTCTCTCTCTGGTCTCTTTCTGGCCTCTCTCTCTGGTCTCTCTCTCTGGTCTCTCTCTCTGGTCTCTCTCTCTGGTCTCTCTCTCTGGTCTCTCTCTCTGGTCTCTCTCTCTGGCCTCTCTCTCTGGCCTCTCTCTCTGGCCTCTCTCTCTGGCCTCTCTCTCTGGCCTCTCTCTCTGGCCTCTCTCTCTGGCCTCTCTCTCTGGTCTCTCTCTCTGGTCTCTCTCTCTGGTCTCTCTCTAGTCTCTCTCTAGTCTCTCTCTAGTCTCTCTCTAGTCTCTCTCTAGTCTCTCTCTAGTCTCTCTCTGGTCTCTCTCTGGTCTCTCTCTGGTCTCTCTCTGGTCTCTCTCTCTGGTCTCTCTCTCTGGTATCTCTCTCTGGTATCTCTTTCTGGTCTCTCTCTCTGGTCTCTCTCTGGTCTCTCTCTCTGGTCTCTTACCTGTGAGTGGTTGTGTGTCAGGCCCATGTGTCTCCTCAGCAGATGCCTCTTGGAGGGCTTGGTGCTGGGCTGGCTGAGGTCGGCAAAGGGGTGGATGGTGTTCCAGTTCTGGAGGTACTGAGACATCCGCACGGAGGCTCTCTGCCGCTGGCCTTCTGCGCTCAAGTGCACGCCCTGAAACCAAACACACACACGCAATCAATACATCACATGGTCTCTCTCAATCTCTGGTCTCTCTCAATCTCTGGTCTCTCTCACTCTCTGGTCTCTCTCACTCTCTGGTCTCGCTCACTCTCTGGTCTCGCTCACTCTCTGGTCTCGCTCACTCTCTGGTCTCGCTCACTCTCTCTGGTCTCGCTCACTCTCTCTGGTCTCGCTCACTCTCTCTGGTCTCGCTCACTCTCTCTGGTCTCGCTCACTCTCTCTGGTCTCTCTCACTCTCTGGTCTCTCTCACTCTCTGGTCTCTCTCACTCTCTGGTCTCGCTCACTCTCTGGTCTCGCTCACTCTCTGGTCTCGCTCACTCTCTCTGGTCTCGCTCACTCTCTGGTCTCTCTCACTCTCTGGTCTCGCTCACTCTCTGGTCTCGCTCACTCTCTGGTCTCTCTCACTCTCTGGTCTCGCTCACTCTCTGGTCTCGCTCACTCTCTGGTCTCGCTCACTCTCTGGTCTCGCTCACTCTCTGGTCTCGCTCACTCTCTGGTCTCGCTCACACTCTGGTCTCGCTCACACTCTGGTCTCTCTCACACTCTGGTCTCTCTCACACTCTGGTCTCTCTCACACTCTGGTCTCTCTCACACTCTGGTCTCTCTCACACTCTGGTCTCTCTCACACTCTGGTCTCTCTCACACTCTGGTCTCTCTCACACTCTGGTCTCTCTCACACTCTGGTCTCTCTCACACTCTGGTCTCTCTCACACTCTGGTCTCTCTCACACTCTGGTCTCTCTCACACTCTGGTCTCTCTCACACTCTGGTCTCTCTCACACTCTGGTCTCTCTCACACTCTGGTCTCTCTCACACTCTGGTCTCTCTCACACTCTGGTCTCTCTCACACTCTGGTCTCTCTCACACTCTGGTCTCTCTCACACTCTGGTCTCTCTCACACTCTGGTCTCTCTCACACTCTGGTCTCTCTCACACTCTGGTCTCTCTCACACTCTGGTCTCTCTCACACTCTGGTCTCTCTCACACTCTGGTCTCTCTCACACTCTGGTCTCTCTCACACTCTGGTCTCTCTCACACTCTGGTCTCTCTCACACTCTGGTCTCTCTCACACTCTGGTCTCTCTCACACTCTGGTCTCTCTCACACTCTGGTCTCTCTCACACTCTGGTCTCTCTCAATCTCTGGTCTCTCTCACTCTCTGGTCTCTCTCACTCTCTGGTCTCGCTCACTCTCTGGTCTCGCTCACTCTCTGGTCTCGCTCACTCTCTGGTCTCGCTCACTCTCTGGTCTCGCTCACTCTCTGGTCTCGCTCACTCTCTGGTCTCGCTCACTCTCTGGTCTCGCTCACTCTCTGGTCTCGCTCACTCTCTGGTCTCGCTCACTCTCTGGTCTCGCTCACTCTCTGGTCTCGCTCACTCTCTGGTCTCGCTCACTCTCTGGTCTCGCTCACTCTCTGGTCTCGCTCACTCTCTGGTCTCGCTCACTCTCTGGTCTCGCTCACTCTCTGGTCTCGCTCACTCTCTGGTCTCGCTCACTCTCTGGTCTCGCTCACTCTCTGGTCTCGCTCACTCTCTGGTCTCGCTCACTCTCTGGTCTCGCTCACTCTCTGGTCTCGCTCACTCTCTGGTCTCGCTCACTCTCTGGTCTCGCTCACTCTCTGGTCTCGCTCACTCTCTGGTCTCGCTCACTCTCTGGTCTCGCTCACTCTCTGGTCTCGCTCACTCTCTGGTCTCGCTCACTCTCTGGTCTCGCTCACTCTCTGGTCTCGCTCACTCTCTGGTCTCGCTCACTCTCTGGTCTCGCTCACTCTCTGGTCTCGCTCACTCTCTGGTCTCGCTCACTCTCTGGTCTCGCTCACTCTCTGGTCTCGCTCACTCTCTGGTCTCGCTCACTCTCTGGTCTCGCTCACTCTCTGGTCTCGCTCACTCTCTGGTCTCGCTCACTCTCTGGTCTCGCTCACTCTCTGGTCTCGCTCACTCTCTGGTCTCGCTCACTCTCTGGTCTCGCTCACTCTCTGGTCTCGCTCACTCTCTGGTCTCGCTCACTCTCTGGTCTCGCTCACTCTCTGGTCTCGCTCACTCTCTGGTCTCGCTCACTCTCTGGTCTCGCTCACTCTCTGGTCTCGCTCACTCTCTGGTCTCGCTCACTCTCTGGTCTCGCTCACTCTCTGGTCTCGCTCACTCTCTGGTCTCGCTCACTCTCTGGTCTCGTCTCGCTCACTCTCTGGTCTCGCTCACTCTCTGGTCTCGCTCACTCTCTGGTCTCGCTCACTCTCTGGTCTCGCTCACTCTCTGGTCTCGCTCACTCTCTGGTCTCGCTCACTCTCTGGTCTCGCTCACTCTCTGGTCTCGCTCACTCTCTGGTCTCGCTCACTCTCTGGTCTCGCTCACTCTCTGGTCTCGCTCACTCTCTGGTCTCGCTCACTCTCTGGTCTCGCTCACTCTCTGGTCTCGCTCACTCTGGTCGCTCTCTGGTCTCGCTCACTCTCTGGTCTCGCTCACTCTCTGGTCTCGCTCACTCTCTGGTCTCGCTCACTCTCTGGTCTCGCTCACTCTCTGGTCTCGCTCACTCTCTGGTCTCGCTCACTCTCTGGTCTCGCTCACTCTCTGGTCTCGCTCACTCTCTGGTCTCGCTCACTCTCTGGTCTCGCTCACTCTCTGGTCTCGCTCACTCTCTGGTCTCGCTCACTCTCTGGTCTCGCTCACTCTCTGGTCTCGCTCACTCTCTGGTCTCGCTCACTCTCTGTCCGCTCTCTCTGGTCTCGCTCACTCTCTGGTCTCGCTCACTCTCTGGTCTCGCTCACTCTCTGGTCTCGCTCACTCTCTGGTCTCGCTCACTCTCTGGTCTCGCTCACTCTCTGGTCTCGCTCACTCTCTGTCTCTGTGGTCTCTGTCTCTGTGGTCTCTCTCACTCTGGTCTCTCTCACTCTGGTCTCTCTCTCTGAGAGTATGAGAAACACTTGGCTTGGACTGCTGCTGTTCATGTCGTTTGACTGTAAACAATCTGGTAAATACTCCTAAAAGTAGAGAAAGTTGCTGAATGTCCCGTAAAGCAGAATGTGCAGGTGCAGTACCAGTCGGTTCTTGCTGGGGGCGCTGTTGGGTTTCTGGGGGTCGATGACCAGGTAGGTCTGTCTGCCCTGGAGCAGAGGGTCTCGGCTGGCTCCGTCTCCAGGCTCCACCTCATAAACCCCGCCCAGGTGCATCCGCGTCTGCTCCGTGATGTGAACCCGGCTGGAGGACCAGAAGGAGCAGAAGAACAGAGAAACAGAAGGAGCAGGAGGGGCAGAAGGAGCAGAAGAACACAGGAGCAAGAGGAACAGAAGGAGCAGGAGGACCAGAAGGAGCAGAAGAACAGAGAAACAGAAGGAGCAGGAAGGGCAGAAGGAGCAGAAGAACAGAGAAACAGAAGGAGCAGGAAGGGCAGAAGGAGCAGAAGAACAGAGGAGCAAGAGGAACAGAAGGAGCAGAAGAACAGAGGAGCAAGAGGAACAGAAGGAGCAGAAGAACAGAGGAGCAAGAGGAACAGAAGGAGCAGAAGAACAGAGGAGCAAGAGGAACAGAAGGAGCAGAAGAACAGAGGAGCAGAAGAACAGAGGAGCAAGAGGAACAGAAGGAGCAGAAGAAGCAGGAGGAGCAGAGGGAGCAGAAGGAGCAGAAGAATAGAGGAGCAGGAGGAGCAGAGGTGAGGATCAGAGACATGTGGACTACAAGCTACATTCATGTTGTACAATAGTATTTCAGTATAAAGTCCCATCATAACCTGGTCTCTCTCTCTGGTCTCTCTCTCTGGTCTCTCTCTCTGGTCTCTCTCTCTGGTCTCTCTCTCTGGTCTCTCTCTCTGGTCTCTCTCTCTGGTCTCTCTCTCTGGTCTCTCTCTCTGGTCTCTCTCCGGTCTCTCTCTGGTCTCTCTCTGGTCTCTCTCTGGTCTCTCTCTGGTCTCTCTCTGGTCTCTCTCTCGTCTCTCTCTCGTCTCTCTCTCGTCTCTCTCTCGTCTCTCTCTCGTCTCTCTCTCGTCTCTCTCTCGTCTCTCTCTCGTCTCTCTCTCGTCTCTCTCTCTCGTCTCTCTCTCGTCTCTCTCTCTCGTCTCTCTCTCGTCTCTCTCTCGTCTCTCTCTCGTCTCTCTCTCGTCTCTCTCTCGTCTCTCTCGTCTCTCTCTCGTCTCTCTCTCGTCTCTCTCTCTCTCGTCTCTCTCTCGTCTCTCTCTCGTCTCTCTCTCGTCTCTCTCTTGTCTCTCTCTCGTCTCTCTCTTGTCTCCCTCTAGTCTCCCTCTAGTCTCCCTCTAGTCTCCCTCTAGTCTCCCTCTAGTCTCCCTCTAGTCTCCCTCTAGTCTCCCTCTAGTCTCCGTCTAGTCT